ACTGAGACCTGAGAGAAACATAAAATCATTAAAATCTGCCATGTTACAGCAGATATCATTAAATTATATACAATTTAGATTATGTATGGAGTTTATTTCAATGTTTGTTTTTAACAAATTAGAAATATCTCTTAGGACGACATTGTGAGCATTTGATCTCTGAGACCCGACGTCAAATACTAATAATAATCATAGATGGATAAAGTAGATGAACACATGAACATCGATGGGACAAAACCAGAACTGACCTGATGACCAGATGAACTTTGGTTTACTGTAATCAGAGAAAAATTCTGGGTTTCCTCTTCCAGCTCTACATGCAAATCCTGCTGTGTGTTTCTGTCCAGTAATGATGAAGGAGTTCTCTACAGTCCCATTGATGCTACCAGCTAGCAGCTCATATCTGTAGTTGTTCTTTGCTAAATCAGGAACAGCTTGATACCAGTAGAACCTCCATCCTGCAGATGAATCTTGAACCTCACAGCTCAGAGTCACTGAGGCTCCAGGATTCAACCATGATGGAGACACAGTCAGGATGGACTCTATTGCCAATTGATGGGGATTAATAAAAAACAAGAGGAAAACAAAATTATACAGCAAATGTTATAAGTCAATGTGCTGTTGACATGAACATGTAGAATAATGTAAAGTATTGATAATAATCCACTGCTTCCTTTTACTGAACAAATGATACTAAAGGAGCCTGAAACTTGCTGACATGCAGCTGATCAGAACCAAATGGTGAAATAAATGTTCAGAAACAAGGAGTTTCCATTTACCTTGACATTTTCCACAGCAGACAAACTGAGAACTGCAAAAAATAAAGATCGGTACTTTATTAGATAGATTTGAAAATGGACAATAGCTGTGCTGTCTTTCTGTATTTGCTTTAGGCCAGTTTGAAGTTGAACTGAAACAGCGTAAAAATGGATGTTTTTTTTTAAGTGAACACAACAAATGAATCCATCTCATCCTAATCTTCTCATTTCAAGCATTTTCCTCAATCTGCTCGATTAAAGTCATGTACTCACTCAGGAAGTCCAGCACACGGAGCAAGACGTTGTCCATCTTCACGTCCTACACTGGTGATGTGTCTCTCTGGATTGGCAAGAGACAAACTGACCTACCAGCAGCTAAAGAGGATCTGAGCATAAAACTCAACGCAAACTATTTACAGACGCCCTGTTTCCATTTCACACTCTTAGCTCCGCTGTTTCTTGACACCACAGCATACTTTGACACTTGTTCCTCCATCACTTCATGTCCAACCGTCAGAAATAATATATAGCCATGGTTACATTTTGGTGGAAAAACAATAATTCAACGAAACACTTCAAATATTCAGTGACTCATTTGTTGTTCATGTACAATAAATAAACTTGATTGTTTTGCATAAAATCAACATTGATTTCATCTTGTGCGTTCATGTTATTTCATCTATCTATCATATCACATCATTAGGATGATCATGTTTTCATGTGTATTTAAGCTGCGACTCCTACTTAACATGTCACTGATTTAAAATCTAAATCTGATGTTTTTCTATTAGACAAGGAACTTAAATATTGTTTACGTCTGTATTATGTCTCCAATCTGAGCTACAAACTAATGACAGAGTAGAAACAACATTTAGCTTTAATGTTGTTCATATAAATGTTGTTAAGTTCTGAATAATAATAAAACACGTGACAGTAAAATGGTGTCAGCTTAGAGCAGGGTGCTTTGAGGAAGTGCTCTAGTAAAATACAAGAAGTATTTTCTTTCTTTTTTTTGAACCTTGCAACATGTTTGGTATCTTTACTTAAAGTTGATCCTTTTTCAGCTTTAGTCATTAAAATAATAAACAAAGCCATTTACAAACAAAAAAAAATCAATTTAAAGCAAAAGCAATCAAAACACTATAAATCACTGAACGGTTTAGCGCCGCAATACATTGAAGTTCTTCTGGTGTTGTATCAACCTTCTCAGGTCTTCTGGTTCTGGTTCTGCTCTGCATCCCCAGAACCAGAACCAAACATGGAGAATCAGCTTTTATTGCCATCACTAATTTGTCTTCATAAATGGTGGAAAGCGGCATTGCAAAGACACCAGCATTAGGCTTGCTTAATGCTTCTTCCTTCTGCAAGAGGGCTTATCAGCAGAGACGTCTCTTCGTTTTGACACCTCTGTGTGCTGCTTTCTGTAAAAAACATTAAAAATAAAGCTCTCAGTGTGACATTGATTCTAAGAAGTGGACATAAACTAAGCTCTCAGTGTGAACATGACTTGTCAGATCTCACTTCTTTTTTCATGTGAGTCAGCATCTATCACATCGGTTCAAGTAAAAAAAAATTAATTTGTGCAAGCTTGTTCTCGCATACATAGTAGTAGTTGCTGGGTTTATAGTAAATTATTGCACTTCCTCCCCCATTAATGTTGAATTGTGGTTCAACAGAATCATCTTAAAAGCAAACCAAGGAAACCGGCACAAACAAACATTACAGCACCTACATCCATCCATTTTCTGGAGTATCCGGGATCGAGTTGTGGGGGTAGCAGCTTAAGAAGGGAGGTCCAGTCTTCCTTCTCCCTAGCCACTTCTTCCAGCTCCTCCAGGGGAATCCCAAGGTGTTCCCAGGCCAGCCAAGAGACATAGTACCTCCAGTGTGTCCTGTGTCTTCCCCGGGGCCTCTTCCTGGTGGGACGTGCCCGAAACACCGTCTGTAACCTCTGTCCTCGTTACAGTTTGCTTCTCTGTCTCCTGCAGCTGACCTGAAGCCGCTTTGCCTGCTTCCTTATCTGACTGCTCTCACAGCAAGGTCGAGCTCAACTTGTAGTTATTTCACACTCATGCTTTTCACAGATTAACATTTTTATTGCAGATATGAAAATCACCACAAACACATTTTTATTACAGATATATTAAAAAATATATTTTCACATAACATAATTTGATTAGCAAGTCAGATCCAAGAAACATCAAAGAATTATTAGACATATAGATATAACTAAACCGTTAACCTTTTGGCCTTCAGTAATCATCTCAATACCTCTGACAACCAGACTGTCTTCCATTTAACATCTAATGACACAACATAGCTCAACAAGAAAAAAAATAATAGATTGGTTTTAAAATCTGCATTAAGAATCATTCATCTTATCAATCTTTGGCCTTTTAATTAAGCAGAAGGTCGACACGGCGACGGCTCAGTCGTCCATGATTAAAAAGCAAACATGGCAACACGGACTGAGGCCGCCGCTCGACACTACTCAGCAGGAAGTTCAGAAATCCACGAACTTGTGACACATCAGCTGGTGGTTATGAAAACCAAACGCTTGTGTAACAAACCCATCATCATTACTTGAGCTGCAGCTGCTTGTCGCTCCAGTCAGTAAATATTTCTTCCACATGTCATGACTCCAAGCATCAGAATGACGACGTTCTTCAAAGTCATTGCTAAAGTCCCACTGTTACTGCTCTTTTTATGTCATACAGGCCTAAATTCACAACCATCTGGGACTTCCTCTTTTTATCATGTTTCTGATTTAGTCAGAAACATGTCGTGTGACCACAGTAACCCCTCACCCTTTCACTATGCAGTCACGTAAACAAACGAGCGATATCACCAGTCTATCAAGTTGGGGGTGATGGTGCTTTATTCAGATCCCTCGATTGTGAAAGCGGGGGCACCGCAGGGGCCCATGCTGCCTCTGGCCACCCTGGGCGGTTGCCCATGTCACCCATATCAGAAGCCCCCACTGGCCCCTGGTTGTGACATACACTTGTTTTTGTTGCCTTGTGTTCACTTAAAACTATACAGCCAGAATGTAAACCTCAACCTCAAAGCATTCTTAATCTGTAAATCTGCTCCCTTTGATGTCAGGTTTAGTGTTTTAGAATTTGATGCATTTTATAGGATAAATGCACCTATTTCTGATTTCATCTTGAAATAAGATACGTTTTACCTGACCCTGTATTTTTGTCTTGGTTATCTTCTCCATGGCTGAAAGGCATTTTGTTTCCACATTGGAATATGGCAATTGCTTTCTCGAACCAATCTTGAATTAAATATTTTGATATCTGGATCGTAACTCACTCATGTATATCTAAAGCTGTCTTTTGGAACAGACCGCTCTAACATTCAGTCCAAACAGCGTCAATATCCGTAGGTCGGTTTCACTTCAGAGTAAACGGCTGTGTCTGCTGCTGGACTGCACCTTCCTGTAAATGCAGAGAGGAATCAGGTGAGGCAGTTACATGGACTAGGACAAACGTGAAACAGATCTTAACCATGGAGATAATACTGTATTTGAGCCTGAAATACTCAGCAAATATTCAATTTAAAATGCCAACGCAAACATAACACTCCATCAACAAGAGCTTGGGTTTTGTCACATGTTCTGGATGTTTTTAGTCCATAAAGCCATGTGGGATTCTGATTGGTTAAAACTGATAAGCAAACAGAAGCATATTAAAGCTCAAAATAGGGCCAAGTAAATGAAAGATGTCGACTCTGAGTGACTGAACCTGTAGTCTCCATCCACAACTATTGAAAACCTGGAATATGAATAAGTTCTGACAATTTCTAACCAAATGACGTGCAACGATTTCTGTTTCTGCTGACTGTACCTGCAGCTCCTACTCTCAGGTCAGTATTGACGGGGATGTCATCTGGTTCCAGATAGGGCCCTGACAAAAGGAAAAAAACACAAAAAAAGTTAGGCTCTTTGAAAATGAAACTTTCAGGACATGTTATTTAACCCGACAACGTTGGAGGAACTCACTCAAGTTTCCAGTGTTTTTAAAGTTAAGGAGAGAGTAGGACATGCTTTGACCTTTCTTTGGATCTGTAACAAATTAACACATCATTTCAGTCATCTTGATGTCATTCTTTTCTTGGATAGCTCAGAGTTTCGGCAGGTAAACTTTACCGTTTGGAGGTTCTTAGTGGGTCTCACTAAGTCATAGAAGTAGGAAGTGCCTAATAAAATACAACACAAATGATTTCCTTTCACAGTTGTATCATGACATATTAATTTTATTTAACTTTGGCTTCTAATAGAGCAGAATTTATCAGTTGAAAACTGATAAATACAAATATATTTGTAGGTTAACTACAAGTGACAAAAAGTTGTCTCTTTCATTTTGTAGCTATTTCAAAAAGCAAAACACAATTTATGAACAAAAATATCAGCAAGTGTTTCAAAGTTGACTTTACTAATTCCATAATATTCTAATGAGGGGGTATTCACACCCGACACATTCAGTCGGGTTTTTAATGAACCAGAGTTCGTTTCCCGCATTGGTCCTGGCATTTCGTCCACATTTTGTGCGTCCAAGTGAATTCTGACACGGTTCACTTCGGGTGTGAACGCAGACCGGCCTTGATCCGGACCCTCGATTGTCAAATGACTTTGTTTACAAATTACAGTCGGCTTGCTAAAAAGTCCAATTCGAATGCAAAGCATACCTAACGAAAAAAATAAAATAAATAAAGTCCTCTTTTGGTCTGGATCAAAAGACTTTCCTGGTGTGAATACAACCTTAGATTACTTCTATTTAAAGTAAAATGATCACATGTTCAAAGTGTTTCTCTTCTGTTTATCTCTACCATGAGATTGCTGGCAAGTGAGTGTGACTTATCAAACATCAACCATTGGCACTTCATAAGAAAATGAAAGTCTGACCTTTGAGCCTTATGAAGCGAATCAGAAGCAGCAGGAGAACAACAAGGATGATTCCACAAATCGGCCCGACGGCCGACATTACAGAAAATGAAGAGCTGCTCTGTTTCAAAACGGCTGCAAAACAAAACAAAAGTATTAAGAATTTATCTTAAAATAAATAAAACATCAATTGCTAAATCACAGGCAGTGCTTGAACCTTGAATAGCCACCCAGCTCTGTGGAGAGACATTTCCTAAATGTTCACACTTGTAGAAACCGTCATCTAACTGAGACACTGTGGAGATCGTCAGCTCCCCACGGTCGTCGTTTTGTCTCAGCTTGTCGTTGTGATAGAAAATCACGTCGGAGAGTTTGTCTTGTTCTCTCGTCACGCAGCTCAGGGTGACAGGAGCTCCTTCAGTCACAGGATGGACGGGGCTCACCAGGAGCAGATCTCCATCTGTAAGCCAGTCAGAAGATGTTAAACTCCAGCCAGGAATCAGCTGCTGGAGACATTTAGAGCAGGTTATCAACGACAAACTCAACACATATATTTTTTGACAAACATACACCAACTTTTCACAATGTTCAACGACACAGCAACATTTGGCGTCAACAGAATACCTGGATTAAAATCCAGACGTGTTATTGACGCGTTGACAGCTGTGGAAGTCTTCATGACGATGAATTATAATCCAAAGATAAATATGTGGAGCCTGTTAGTTTAATCAAGATGTAACAAAATGTACTTTGTTGACAAAAAATTTGTTCTTTAAAAAAAACAACTCTTGTGAAAGTGAAAGCCGATGTTTGAATTTTGAATGGAGGAAAACTGTCCAGATTGAGACCATGTGTACATCTAACTAATGCTGACTTGATAGAGTTAATATTCATGCAATCAATTATTATTTTGCATATTTCTACCTTTTGTGAAGAGATCTTTTTTTACTAGCCATTAGCATGTTTTGTTGTGGAATCAGACGAAATCAATTATTCCATTCAAAAGGATAAAAGTGTCTAAACAATGACTACTTTTTGATACTATTGCATTTTGTAAAGGTCAATTTCTACAGTGCACATGAAAACGCTGGTTATGACGGCCAATCTAAGGTGATTTCAAAGTTTGGGAACAATTTGTGTGATCTCTACACCCTGAAACTAAAACTAACACCAAAAAGGTTGCATGAAAAAGTGGAAACGCTTTTCAGACAAGCTAATTTACATTAATTCTCTACACCACAGAAGAAGAAAATGTTTGTTATCTATGTCGACAAAGATTTGGCCTGTTGCATTGCATTTTTGACAAAAGGGGAGCTGAATTTGTACAGCAGGTCCTGAGGAGGAGCTGCTCGCCTGATGCGTTTAAGGCACTTTTTAAAGTAGGAAATTAAAGTGAAACCCTGATGAGACTAATAGGCAACTTATTAGCGGAATAAAAATTTGATTATAGATCAAATTAAATATGATTAAGACATTTTACACTTTTTCTTTTCACTCTTGTAGGGCTTGCAGAGATGATGAAGCTGCTGAACCGAATGAAAAACCACACACAGGCTGTACCTTGCACAGTGATGTTGACTGCGTTGCTGAGCTCTCCTGATTCAGACTCGCACCAGAACGCTGCTTCATAGGACTGTGGACTGCTGAAGTTACACACGGATCCATTCATCGCCCCCCAGGTGGAGCACGAGTCGGTGTACGACGAGAAGCTTAACTCTCTCGTCACCTTCACTCTCCACTCGGCAGCGTTTCCTCCACAGCTCAGTGTCACCGGCTCAGAGGTGAAGTGTTGCGCTCTGTCAGGACTCACTGAGAGAGACGCTGCTGGATGAGGATCTGAAAAACAACGTGATCAGAGGAATCAGTGAAATCAGTGAAGTAGAAAGGAAAGGGGAAGAAACAGGTCCTCAATTCAGGAACAGAATTTCTGGCTTCAAATTAAAACCTTTCATGGAGTCTAAGTGAAGAAAAATAAAACATTTTCTGAACTAAAACCTTTAAACAAGTGTTGATAGTTGGTCATGGATGAAAAAATAAATCACTACAAATCATCCACCCCTCTTTTTATACCCTTTACAAATACTTTCTATTCTTTTCCAGCGATAAAGTCTTATCTGTACGTTTTTACTTTGACCAACCTCTGTGCGGTAAAAACTGCATAAAGGGAGGTCAGGTTGCTAAATCACAAAAACACGTTAATTGCAAGAAGAGGACCGCTCTGACCTGAAGAACAGACGAACTTTGGTTCACTGTATCGAGAGAGAAACTCTGGGTTTCCATATCCCACCCTGCATGCATATCCCGCTGTGTGTCTCTGTCCATGAACGATGAGGGAGTCCTGGCTCGTCCCATTGACTTGATCGGGCAGCAGCTCGTATCTGTAGTCATTTCTTGATATATCGGGAACAGCTTCGTACCAGTACCTCCACTCTTCAGACGGAGGATCGACCTCACAGCTCAGGTTCACTGAGGCTCCGTGACTCAGCCATGACGGAGACGCAGTCAGGCGAAGCATCGGTGCAACTGGACACAAACAGTTTAGATTTGGTTTGTTTTTCATTGTAAATAAATGTGAAATTTAAGTGGCAGTGTGACGGCGATCGTACAGCCGAGCTGTGCAACAAACCAACGACTGTGCGATGTTGTCAAGTCGATTCCTTTGTTCTTCGACATTAAGCAACTCAAAGCTGAAAACTGATGAACTGACATCAACAACATGGTGCAAAAAACCCAAAAAAGTGTAAGTCAGATGATGAAAACCATAAATTAACCTACGGTGTATGGTGATGTTCACTGCGTTGCTGAACTCTCCGGATCCAGACTCACACCAGTACACCGCTTTGTGGAACCAGCGGCTCCTGAAGGTGCACAGGGATCCGGTCATTACCCCCCAGACGGAGCAGTCCGAGGCGGACGATTCCGCCGTCCTCTTCACTCTCCAGTTAGCGGCGCTTCCTGTGCATTGCAGATGGACTTCGTCGAAAGTGAAAATTTTTTCTCTTACTGGACTGACTGTGAGAGACGCTGCTGGGTGAGCATCTGAAATACAAGAGACAAAATAAACCGAGAGAAAATCAAAATGAAAATCACACATGTTCTGTGTTCTATGATATTCTGAAGGATTGTGTAGATGACTTTACGAAGTCTAACAGGTGCAGCGATGTATATTCAATCCCGAGAAGATAATAAATGATTCGTTTGAAATCTATCTTTAAACAAGTAATTCTACAAGTTTCTCTGTTTTAATCTTTTGCCATCATGAATTATGCTTTGTTTTTTTTTTACCTTTAGCATCATTTAAACAGTTCAATTAAAATGACTGTGCTTTACAGACAGAAATGATCGCAGGCCTTAATTTGACAGAGGTAATTGTAAATGTGTTTATTCAACAGAAACATACTGACCAGCTGACCAGACAAACTGTGGTTCACTGTAATTAGTGGAATACTCTACGTTTTCCCATCCGGCTATACACGCGTATCCTGCTGTGTGTTTCTGTTTGTGAACGACGAAGGAGTTCTCTACTGTCCCGTCGACGCTGTCAGGCAGCAAATCGTATCTGAATTTAATCTGCGACAGATCAGGAACAGCTTTATACCAGAAGAACCTCCTCTCTGCAGCCTGAGGCTCCCCCTCGCAGCGCAGAGTCACCGCGGCGCCGGGACTCAGCCACGACGGAGACACGGTCAGTCGGGGCGTTTGCACAACTGGACAGGAGAAATAGTTTAGTTTTTTTTCTCCCCTCGCACATGGAAAGAGATGGAACATCTTCTGTTTGATATTTACTAGCATTTAAAAGACAACAACATATCAGGTCAACTCAAAGGACTTTTAAAAAGAAACCTTTCTCACTGCAAAATCACAAAATCTTACCATGTATTTTTGGTCTAGTTTCAAGTGTAAATATCTTGTAGTGAGACAAACTAACTTAAAAGTAACTTTTCAGTGAGATATAGGAACTGATCTTTGGTAAATAATTTCTTAATATTGATGGAAAAGTACTTGTTCCATTGGCAGATAAATTTATTTATAACATAGGAAAGATGTCTTGTTCTAAGTGAAATAATCTGCCAGTGGAACAAGTACTTTTTTTTTTTATCCCAAACTGATATGTAGCTTAGTTCAAAGAGTTGACCTGATTTCTGATTGAGCAAAATCAATGTGGATTTTGGATACAGCTCATCAAAATTGAGTTGAAAACCCCACAAAATCTTTTGATTGTTGACCATTGTTATCAATACTTTGGATCTGACCCCACCTCTAATAATTCTCCTGGCTTGTTTAACACATGTTTCGACACGTCGACACAAAAGGAGACACTTCCTTCACTAACAACCCTCCACTTCTGACAAACTTGAAAAACATAACTCGGAACAAAACTAAACCTGTAAAAAATAGCATGGAAAGCAATAATATAGACATCGAAAATCAGAAGAAAGGGAAATGTAAAGAAACCCACGGTGCATGGTGATGTTGACCGCGTTGCTGAACTCTCCTGATCCAGACTCGCACCAGTACAGAGCTACGTTGTACTGGAGATTGCTGAACGTACACAAGGGTCCGGCCATCGTTCCCCAGCCGGAGCAGTCCGATACGTCTGACTGGTCGTATGATTGTCGAACTCGTCTCACTCTCCAGTCAGCAGAGCTTCCTGTACATTTCAGCTTGATGTCGTCAACGATGTAAAGCTTGTCTCTGTCAGGACTCACTGTGAGAGACGCTGCTGGGTGAGGATCTGGAATACAGGAAAGACCAAAAGAAATCAAGAGGAGGTTTAATGAAAATGAGTCACATTCTGCCTTTAAACTGTTTTTGAAATCCTGAGACTTTTCAAAAAAATGTAGCTAAGTAATTAGCTTGACAAATCCATTTTAAAGCAAGTGAATTATCGTCACTCTTTCTTCACCCTGTCAAATCACTTTTGTTTACATCGTTTCTACTTTGACGTTTTTAGTTATCGTGTGTCTGTTTTTCATTTCTCTACCATAAAATGAAACAATTTCACTCAAAATGAGGACCGGCATTTGTTTCGTTACATTAACAAAGCGAGCGATAAACCAATTCATAAAGTGGAATCACACTGACCTGCAGACCAGACAAACCTCGGCTCACTGTAAGCAGTGAAATACTCTTCGTTTGGTTTTCCAGCTCTACATGAAAACCCTGTTGTGTGTCTCTGTCCATAGACGATGTAGACGTCCTCTACCGTCCCCATGGTAACGTTGGACAGTGGATCGTGTGTGTAGTTTTTCTGTGATGGATCGGGGACAGCTCTGTACCAGTAGAACCTCCATTCTGCAGAAGAAGGTTTTACCTCACATTTTAGAGTCACAGAGGCTCCAGGACTGAGCCACCATGGAGACACAGACAGTGTGGGCGTTGGCGAATCTGAACAGAGAAATAGTTCATGCGACTATGTGAAAACATGTGACATCGTCTGTTAGATCTGAGTAACATTGCTGCTATAAAGACAGCATCCACAATTTTATATATCCATAAAAAAACATGTTTTTTTTTAAAAGTTTCTAAAACCCAGATTGCAAGAGTCTTCGCAACTAAGAACTCTTAGATTCATAGAAGTGAAATAAAACACGGATGCTACAGCTTTAAAATAATGGCATTACAAGTTGTGCGATGTTATCCATGCAGTTGCTTTGAGCTCAAACTGTGAGCAGAACTCAGGGCAAAAGGTAAATGTCATAAACCGACATGGACCACAAATCTTTAAAGTAAGGAGAAGGAAAAAATATGTAAATGAACCTACAATTTAAAGTGATGTTGACTGCATTGCTGAACTTTCCTGATCCAGACTCACACCAGTACACTGATTCATGGTACTTCGAACTGCTGAAGGTGCAGGAGGATCCAGTCATTGCTCCCCAGCTGGAGCAGTCGGATGAGTCTGACTGGCCGTATAAATAGCTAAACCGCCTCACTCTCCAGTCAGCAGAGCGCCCTTTACATTCCAGCTTGATGTCGTCAACAATGTATAGTTTTTTTCTGGCGGGACTCACTGTGAGAGACGCTGCTGGGTGAGAATCTGCAACAGAAAGTCAACCGAGAATGATTATTTAATATCATTTCCGAGGGTTTCTCCTCCTGCAGGTGACTCTGCAGATTTCAACAAGTTCAACTCTGTATTCTCAATCCTAAAAGTATTGACAAGCAAATTAATTAGCTTGATAAATCTATATTTAGAAAAGTAATCCTAATATCTCAATTTCTCCACCATCCATTCTTTGGTTTTGTCAGTCATACTTTGTTTTGTTTTTCAGTCCCCATGTTTTTTCTTTCCGTTTCTAGACTTCCAGCATACATCAAACGGCATTTTTGGATGAAATTAGCATTTGCTCGAGTGATAGAAATGATCGCAGATAAAGCAGTTCTTTCAAACACACTGACCTGCTAACCAGACCATCTTCGGCTCACTGTAATTGGTGAAGATCTCTGGGCTCCCGATTCCAGCTCTGCATGCGTATCCCGCTGTGTGTTTCTGACCACGAACGACAATGGAGTCCTGCACAGTCCCCTTATTACTACCGGGCAGCAGATTATATGTGTAGCCTTTAGATCGATTTGGAACAGCTTTATACCAGTAGAACCTCCATCCTGCTGATGAAGATTCAACCTTACAGCTGAGAGCTATTGAGGCGCCATGTCTCGGCCAAGATGGAGACACGGTCAGCAGGGGCCTTGGTGCAGCTGGAGAAAAGAAATAGTTTAGTTTGTTAAAAGGTACAGACATGTTACACCCTCTGCGAGATCCGAGCTACAACACTAGCATTTAAAAGACAATTAACAGAAATCTCATCTGCAGAGGTCATGAGGCGAGAGGCGTCTCCAGTCCGTCGCTGGGCGTTACAGACAAACGGGACCAGCAATCGTTCACGCTTTTAATCAGTTTTAAATAAACCGATCAACCTGACAGTCATGTTTTTGGATCGTCGCAGGAAGCCAGAGTATCTGGAGAGAAACGGTGTGTGTGCAGGGAGAACATGCAAACTCCATTCGAAAAGATCCCAGATCGGATTTACGCAAAACCAGAGGACTGGTTCACAAATGCAGGACTCCGAAAACCACGGCAGGAGATCAAGTCAGGCTTCACATTGAGGCATCAGTTCATCCTTCAAACCTTTTGACCCTTGCTCAAAAGGTTTAGACTTAAAACTCATTATTATAACATGAATCTCAGAGCTTAATGCCGGGTTAATTTGCTGCCCTGCTTTAGAGAAAAACCCCAGGTTGATGCACCACAGAGAGAGGGCGCCAAAGTCATGGCAGAAAAATAATTTCTAGTCGGGACAGGAAGGAACAGAACCTGCAATGTGCCTGCAAACGCCTTGGAAAGTCCCCACTGGCGCCCTTTCCTCAAATAAAGGATGGCACCTTACTGATGAATTTTTTTTAGGTTTACTAGAAATAAACCCATAAATTGTTTACAATTCAAAATAACATTAATGTTAGCATGTAACTGAAATAAAATGCACAGTTTAAGTCACACAATGTTTAACAAAGGTCGTTACATAATGAGCTCTCCCTGCTTATGATGTAACTAATCACAAGATACATTTCGTCAACTCTGTTACACTTATATTCTGTTTTGTATTTTGTTTTTTTGTTTTGATTGCCAATATGTTGCATTTGCACACAGAGTTACAACAGAAATGTTTCCTTTCAAGATAAAAGGAGCAATCAAAACTGAAACAGGAAGTTAACCACTGTTAAGACTAAAAACAAAAGAGGTCGTACACAGATTTTTTGAGTCATTAGTGCAAGTCGCTTGTACTAATTTGACATTTAGCATACTGTCAAATGTTCTTGTAACACCTGCTCTCATTATGAATGAATCCTCTGCCTGATTCACACATGATAATATTGACATCCTCTAATCATTTATTAGTATTTTGTTTGAGAAAATGAAAGGTAACGCCATGAACTGCACAAATGTGATGTCTTTTAGTAAGCAGCATTGGTTAGGAATGTAATCTATCAATCTATTATTTTGTCGCTATTGTTTCAGCAGCTTCTTTATGGAGCATTTGTGCTTCAGTTTCTCAAGTAAAAATGTTACCAGTGTACTGTGAAGTGTATGCAATTGATCAATTAGCATCTGTGAACGTGTGAACGATCTCGTAGGCTGTTGAAGAAATCAGTGGACGCGCTTTTATCCGAATGAAGCCTTGCTTCGACTCTGACGCTGCGTTTCTGACTCGCCGACAGCCATCAGGACATAAAAACATGCAGGGAAACCTACGTTTCAAAGTGATGTTGACCGCATTGCTGAACTTTCCCGATCCGGACTCACACCAGTACACTGCTTCGTCGCTCTCAGGATTTGTGAAGGTGCACGAGGATCCGGTCATCTTCCCCCAGACGGTGCAGTTGGACGAGTCCGACTGTCTAAACCTGTTCACTCTCCAGGCGGCCGAGCTTCCCGTGCAGCTCAGCTGGATTTTCTCATTGGCGAAAAGTTTCGTTCTCTTGGGACTCACGGTGAGAGACGCTTCTGGGTTGGAAGCTGGAGATCAAGAAACAGAGACGAAAAAGAAGCCAAGAGAAAGTTTGAGCAAAATGTTCTGATTTTTATTTTTTGGGGAAAATTAAGAGCCGCACCACTGTATTCTCAAACCCGAGAATACACTGGTTTAGTTTGATGAATTTATCTCAAAACAAGAAATCATATTATCCTAACCATTTCAAATCACTCTTTTGATTCCATCAATTATACCTTAACTTTTCCCGTCCCCGTGTTTCTGGGTTTCTTTTCTCTCCAATCACAGACATTTGGTTGGCAAAGACAATAATAAAGAAGTTTGTTCAATAAAATCACACTGACCTGCAGACCAGACAATCTTTGGTTCGCTGTACTCTGTGAAAAGCTCTGGCTTTCCTTTTCCACCTCTGCATGCGTATCCTGCTGTGTGCATCAGTCCATGGACGATGTGGACGTTCTTTACAGTCCCTACAGTAACGTCATGCAGTGGAACATATTTGTAGCTCTTCTTTGATAGAAGAGGAACAGCTTTGTACCAGTAGTACTTCCATCCCGCAGAGGAAGGTTTAACCTCACAGATTAGAGACACCGGGCCTCCGGAACTCAGCCATGATGGAGACGCGGTCAGCCGGGGCCTCGGTGCAGCTGCAGAAAGGAAATCATTTTGCTTTTGCACAGTCAGGATCTAAATTCTGTTAGATCTGAGTAATATTACCAGCATCTCAAAATTGTACAAAAAATAAATTAATTAAAACCAAATAAAATAAGTAGCTTGAAAAGAGACGACTCAAATTTCTTCAAACTGAAACATAGGAACCACCTATTTAAAATAGAGGCATTAAAAGTTGCGCAATATTCTCAAAATGACTGCGAGGAACTTCTCCAACTTTAAACAGAACTCAGGACGAAAGCTGAATATTATAAACGAACAACAGAGTAGCAAACAAACATATCAATAAACATACGTTCTACAGTGATGTTGACCGCATTGCTGAACTCTCCTGATCCGGATTCACACCAGTACACTGCTCTAGGGTACAGGGGATTGGTAAAGGTGCACGAGGGTCCGGCCATCGTTCCCCAGCTGGAGCAGTCCGATAAATCCGCCTTGTAGTATGATTGTTTAAACCGTCTCACTCTCCAGTCAGCAGAGCTTCCTGTACATTCCAGCTTGATGTCGTCAACGATGTAAAGCTTGTCTCTGTCAGGACTCACTATGAGAGACGCTGCTGGGTGAGGATCTGGAATACAGGAAAGACCAAAAGAAATCAAGAGGAGGTCGGGTGACAAATGATGCGTCCTCGCCATTTTACGACAGTTTGAAGGGGTTTCGTTTTCAGAAACTGGGATAAGTGAAAGTAACTGAATTGCTCTTTCTTTTTATAAAATGTTCCTTATTGTTCTCGGGTAAAAGTGAAGCAGATTTTGATATTTTGTTCACATAAAAAAAAAAGTCCTTTTATTTGGACCCTCTCAAGAATGTAAGTAATTATCTACTAAATTGCACTCATGCACTGACTTTGTCCCTCCCACACTACATCGACAATAGAAACAGTATTGATGCATTTATTTGATTTCTGTTAAAATTGTTGTGATAATCTTGTTGATATCTCCTGTTCTGGGACCGTAAACGCCAGAGTATCTCACAGGTTTATTCAGAGTAAGTTATTCGACTCAAAGTTTCTTGCTACAGCTTCCTAAATTAAGTTTATTGAACAGAAGCACACTGACCTGCGGACCAGACAAACTTTGGTTCACTGTATTCAGTTAAATACTGTCCTTTTTCTCTTCCAGCCCTGCATGCGTACACAGCCGTGCGCGTCTCTCCGTGCACGACGTGCGTCCCGCTGACGCCGTCAGACAGCACCTGGTATCTGTAATTGTTCTGCTGCAGGTCGGGAACGGCTTTGCTCCAGTAGAACCTCCATTCTGCAGATGCGGGTTTGACTTCGCAGCTCAGAACTACTGAGGCTCCAGGACTCGGCCACGATGTCGACACAGTCAGGACGGGCTTCGGTGTAGCTGGACAGAGGAATAGTTTAGTTGTTTTTTCGTCTTCTTCTTTAATCACTGCCCCACGGTAAAGACATGTGATATTCTGTGTGTGTGTGTGTTTTTTTTTTTTTTTTTTTGAGTAACATCTAGAAGACAATATCTAAAACAAAAACAAGCAACAGAAACATTTTAATATAAAAAGACTCGGCTTTCTTAGAAACGAAACATAAATGCCGCTCCTTTAAAAAGCTGTGCAATGTTACCAAACTCACTGATATGAAATTCTTTAACTGTGAATGCAGGCAACTATCAGCCATCGACTTGGACAACATGGGATAAAATTTGAAAGGAAGGGGGGGGGGGGGGCAACATATAAGTGAATTTACCGAGTATTGTGATGTTGACTGCATTGCTGAACTTTCCTGATGCAGACTCACACCAGTACACTCCTCTGTGGTACTGGGGACTGCTGAACGTACACGAGGACGCGGTCATGGTCCCCCAGACGGAGCAGTCTGTTACGTCCGACTGGTAGTACGGTCTGAACCGCCTCACTCGCCAGTCGCCAGTGCTTCCTGTGCACGTCAGCTGGACTTCATCGACAGTGTAAAGGTTGTCTCTGGCAGGACTCACTGTGAGAGCGACTGCTGGAAAAGTCTCTGGAGCACAAGAAACAAAGAGGCAAAACAAACCGAGAGGAAACCAACTTGAAAATGGGACACAGTTTGCATTTTGTGTCATTTTGGAGGATTTCAGCAAGACAATCTCAAGAAGTTGACGAAGATGAACAATTACTTTGATGAATATTTTTCTCTTTAGACAGGTGATTCTAATATCTTCAGAATTTCTTGTCAAGTCTTGTTTTAACCAATAATACTTTGTTTTTGTTTTTTAAATCTTGCTGGGGTTTTTTATTGTTTCTTTTCACAACTTTTAACCGTACATCAAGCAGCATTTCCAGTTAAAACCAGACACAGACATGACGTCATCGATACGTTCATTCAATAAAATCACACCGACCTGCAGACCAGACCATCTTTGGCTCGCTGTAATCGGTTAAATACTCTGGGACTCCCCATGCGGCTCTGCATGCGTATCCCGCCGTGTGTTTCGGATCACGGATGACGTAGGAGGACCGCAGAGTCTCACGGGTTCTCTCAGGCAGCGGCAGATATTTGTAGGTGTCGGGCTGTCCGGGAACAGCTCTGTACCAGTAGAACGTCCATCCTGGTGACGAAGGCTTGACCTCACACCTTAGAGTGACCGGGGCTCCTGGACGCACCCACTGTGTGGACGCAGTCAGCACGGCCTTCGGCGCGGCTGGGGAAAAGAAATAGTTGACTTTGTTTCAGAATTTCTTTCACGGTTTGTTTCATCTGAACTGAGAGAAATAATAATAGAAGAAAAATAAAACAAGGCTAGAATTGAAACATGGATGCCATTTCTTTTTTCAAAGAGAAACATTAAAAGTGTCGACGGCATGGAAATCAAACCAGATCAATTTCAGTCACTCGCTTTGCAAAGCTGGTAGAAGCAAAACCCAGCAAAAGTATGCTATTTTAATTTTCAAAACGCCTAGAATCATGCATCCCTTTCTTCCCACTTCACAGTTGTACATCACGTTGTGTTGGTCTCCCACATATAACGTGTTTTTTTTGCGTGTTTTTTTTACCGTGCACGGTGATGTTGATGGCGTTGCTCAGCTGTCCCGATCCAGACTCGCACCAGTACACGGCGGTTTGCTGCCAGCGACTGTGGAAGGTGCACGAGGAGCCGGACATGGTCCCCCAGCTGAAGCAGTCGGAAACGTCCGAGTTGTAGGACGACTGTCTGAACCGCCTCACTCTCCAGAGGCCGGGGGTCCCGCTACATTTCAGCTGGATCTCGTCGCCCGTGAACAGTTTCTCCCTGGCAGGACTCACCATGAGGGAAGCTGTCGGATGAGACTCTGGAACACAAGAAAGGAAATGAGATGGCAGGCATGTCATTCTTTTTTTTTTCCCCTCAGGTGCAACAATATATAGTCAACCCTGAGGATTTAATCTAATAAACCCTTTCATTTGATAAATTTATCTTATAACAAGTCACCATTAGCTTCACCGTTTCTACATCCTACCCAACCAGTCCTTTGTTTTAATCTATTATAATTTGTAGTTTTTCAGTCCAAATACTTTTTGTTTCTTCTGTCTACCTCTATCATAAAAAACAATTTGTTTTCGTAAATGAAATAATCACACCCATTAGAGTCGCACTGACCTCCGGACCAGCTCAGTGTGATTTTACTGTAATCAGTGAAGATCTCCGGGTTTCCTCTTCCGGCTCTGCAGGCGTATCCCGCCGTGTGCTTCTGTCCCAGAGTGACGTACGTGTTCTTTGCGGTGCCCTTCTGAGTGCCGAGCAGTGGGTCGTATCGGTAGCTGTACTTCGACTGGTCGGGAACAGCTCTGTACCAGTAGAACCTCCACAACGGCGACGGAGGCTCCACCTGGCAGCTCAGAGTTGTTGAGGCTTTGGGACTCAGCCATGGTGGGGACACAGTCAGGACCGCCCTGGGCGCTGTTGGACAGAAATAGTTTTGCTTTTTATGTTTCATTTTTCTCATAAAGACATGAGACATCTTTTGTTAGGCCTAAGTGACACTGTATGCGTTTGAAAGACCTGACAAAATGTTTGGGCTGATCCCTGCAGCAGAAATTGTTGTTGCTTGGCTTTGAAGATGCTGACAAAAGTTTAAAGGTCATTTGCTGGTTGACCTTTTGACCTCTAAACCTCCATTAATATAATTTATCATTAATTAATTCGGTCGATCATTTACTTTTTGTCAATATCTAATGAAACACAAAGAAAAATGTTTGCTGATTTTGGCGGGGGTTCGGAGGGCGATGGTTGACCCTTCGTGACCTCTGGAAATTTTTCCTGAAAGTCTTCAAAATGACAGTGGCACAAACAAATTACTTGTTTATTTACTTATTTTCCTGCACAAAGGTTTGGCACCAATTCAGCCTGATCTGAAGAGTGTGGAAAGCAGCACGAGCGCTTAAAAGACAAGATGTCGCTTAAAGATAAACACATTAGCTGCCAAAAAAAAAAAAAAAAACGGACGATGAACGTCTTCAACTAAAAACCTTGTTAATTTGACACGGTGAATATGAAGTAAAAAAAACAAATGAATGAATGTTCGTGAACCTACGGTGTATGGTGATGTTGACTGCGTTGCTGAACTCTCCGGAACCAGACTCGCACCAGTACACCGCTTTCTGGTACCAGCGGCTGCTGAAGGTGCACGTGGGTCCCGCCATTTTGCCCCAGACGGAGCAGTCCGACAAGTCGGACGGGTAGTACTGCCTGAACCGCCTCACTTTCCAGACGGCAGAGGCGCCGCGACACGTCAGTTGGATCTCGTCGACCGTGTAGTGCTTTGCTTTCATCGGGCTCAGCAGGAGAGACGCCGCCGAAGAAGACACTGAAGCGGGGAGAAAGACATCAAATTAACCCTGGAAGGTCAAACCGGAGAGCAAGTCAAGCTGAGAAGTCAAGTTTGGTAAAACTGACTCCACAGATGTAATTGGAATATCCAGGCCCATAAAAAGGGCGGGGCTCAAGCCTCCTTTGCCCCTCCCCCTGCACGGCCTGTGAATATCTTCCCAATTTCTCCACCCCTTCCAATCTGTCTTTTGTTTTATAAATAAATCATACTTTGCATCTTTTTGCTCATTTTTGTTACCTTTGACACAAATGAAACAGCTCATTCCATCGAAACATTTGTCTCCGTGACAAAAATGACCACAGATATCAAAGTTCACCCAGGGAACGATGAAGAAGAAGAACACACACTGACCTCCTGACCAGACAAACTTCATTTCACTGTACGGAGTGAAAACCTCCGGGATTCCTCGCCCGGCTCTGCACACATACGCTGCTGTGTGCGTCTGGCCTTTGATTCTGCAGAAGTCCTCTTCGGTCCCGTCGGCTCTGCCGGGCACCGGCTCGTATTTGTATTTGTTCTGGGAGACTTCGGGAACAGCTTGATACCAGTAGAACCTCCATTCTTCTGATGAAGGTTTAACCTCACAGTTCAGCGTCACTGAGGCTCCAGGACTCAGCCACGACGGAGACACAATCAGGACAGGCCTTGATTTGGCTGGACAGAGAAATAGTTTAGGCTTTTCCCAACTGTTAGACTTGAGTGACATTGTGAGTATTTAGAAGACAAAAACCTCTACAAAATGAACAAAAGAAAAAAAAAAAAAGAGAGAGAGACAAGATTCAGCTTTCTCAGAATTAGTCTAGACCTTCCTAAGGGGAAAAAGTGTTATCAGTCAGTTTTGGGGGTTTGTAGTAATGGTGCAGCTCTACTGAGGACTTGGGTAAACCTCAAAAACACACGTTCCTTGCAAAAAAGACGATTTCCACCTAAACCTACGATCTGGTCGGGCAACGGCTGCTGTCAGCCGTTTGCGATGACCTTCTGTGAGTGTGAGGAATTTTAGTCGCTCATTTGCTAACTACTTTTGGAGGGCTTTTTTGTTTGTTTGTTTGTTTTTTGAGCATGAACTGCCTTCTCAAGGCAATTCAGGTCGGGGCTTTTGTCCGAAACAAGCCAGCGAGTCTACCTCCGAAACGGTTGCGGAGAAACGAAATGAAGACGTTCGAGTGAAAATTTAAATAAAAATGTTACCATTACCTGTCGGGTTTCCAATGCAGAGGAGTACACCGAGAACTAAAGCAAAGATTGAAACTCTGTTAGATGTCAAACAATTATAAAAAAAAGAAGAAAAAAAATCACAGCAGGAATACATACATTTACTGATAATTTTTTTTAAAAACACGTTACTGCTCAAATTTAATCTTTGTGTTTTAAAATGGAATTAAAATCCAGTAGTGTGGCTCAAAGAGAGCATTTAATGAGTTCTGACTACAGACTGATTCATGAAATATGTGAAAGAGTAAAAGTTATCATTTCCTGCCATTTAAGCACACACACACGCACACACACACGCACGCACACACAAACCAAGCTATTTTATTACATTGCAGGATCTTTCTGTGTAAAGGCCCTGTTTGACCTCTATGACCTCTGCGCAGTACGCGTTTCATTAAGTATATTTACAGCATGTTAGAACTTCAAAAAGATGACAGATCTGCAATACTCAATCTCCCACACTATCTCCCAGATTATGACGATATCTGAGCAGCCATGTTTCAATGACGGCGGCTCTGCCGTCCAGGTTTGCTGTGTCTTTTGAGGTGAGGAAGCAGGAACCAGGTTGGAAGACGTTAACAAGTTCTAGAGGAAAACTCAGATTACAGCTCCTCTGATGAAAACGTCAGACATAATGTCCTCAGTGGGTCCTCATTTACTCATGCACACTCGACAGCAGTAGAATCAGACTTCAGAAGCCACAAGGCTGGTTACTTCTCAACGTTTAGGTTTTTCCTACTTTCATAAATTGGGCAAAAAAAACCCTAAGTCAAGGACAAATATGAAGGTATTTTTGCTTTTATGTCTGAGGGAAAACTGGGTAATTTGTTTTTGTTATAGATTTAAAAAAAAAAAACTTCCATTCTGTCCTACTAAACATTGAATAATAATAATAATAAATAATAATAATAATAATAATAATAATAATAATAATAATAATAATAATAATCAACTTTCTATACATGCCAAATAACTCCAAAGACTAAAAGTCTGAACAGTCAAACTGCTTGCAAGAGTTAACGCTAAACAACCAGCTGACTTCAAATAAATAATGATTAAAGACCAAACCGTCTTTACTTCACGCTTCAAATATGATCTCACAAGTATTTCTCATGATACTCAAGGAGAAATAAAGTGGCTTTACTCACGTACTACACCCGGCACACAGAGCAACGTGCCGCCCATCTTTAAATCCAGACAGAGAGCGTTGCAGCTCCTCTGAGTCCTGCAGATATACAGTCCTTTATCACAAGAGAAACGCTGAGACTGCACTGCACACTGTAGCAAAAAAAAAAAAAAAAAAGAAGAAAAAAGAAAAAAGATAGTAACATTTACAGTAAATTACGGGCAGCAGGGTTGCCAGTCAGGTTAACGCAATCTTTACAGTAACCTGACAGTCATTTAGTTACATTTTAGACAGGCAGGAGGACAGATGTGAAGAGACAGTGTTACTAATGTCTGTCCTCCTGTCTGAAAGACAAACAGGAGGACGGATTCGGGGACAGTTTGTGGTGTTTCCTTAAAACGTCGCTCCGCTTTGCCTCATTATGTGGACCAAGCAGGCAACGTGAAAATGGCCGCGCCGTGTGGAGCTTTAAATTAAACACACAAATGAAGGATTTCTCTGAGATTGTGAATTCTGAATGTGGTCTGGATTTTCTCTCAATCGGGTTTTGATGAAAAGGAAAACTGGAAACACATGTCAGGAGAGGAGAGAGACGTGGATGGGCTGGCGTTACTTTGTAGCCATGCTGATGTCACGAGGGACAAAAGTTGATTTCAGTGCTGTTTTCATGTTATCACAAATGATGACTCATTTCACTAGGTGCAGTTATTATTATTATTATTATTATTGTTAACAGACATCAAAATGTTGCCAGACACGGGAAATTTTGATTTGTTGCAATAGCGGTGCATGAAGAAACTGCAGACACACACACAATGTAATCCTAGAACAAGAAAATATGACTTTGGGTTTACAAGCAAACTGACGAACCAGTTCCTGAATCACTGGATCCAACAAACAAGAAATGTGTCTTTTCATTTAAAAGGCTCTGGAAGAATGTTTTGCTGAAAGAGAATGATTGTCTGCTGCCATTCTGGATACAATGCACTCAAAAATAACTTGTTCAATTAATTCAGTATGTAAATGGAACTTAACTTTATGTAATAAAAAAAAAGAAAGTAATATTGTGCAGCTGGTATTAAACTGATTGAAATTAGTGTTGCAATCACTGCATTTTGCTAATTTTAATTGCTGTATCGGCAGTTTAATTGCGTAAACAAAGACGTGTCAACAGCAACCCCACAGTGTAGTTAAGTAAATTCAACTTACACCACTTTCATGTTGTGGAAAGTTAGTTTATTAACAGCAAAAACAAACATTACAGCAACAGAGTGAAGAAGAGCAATACCCATAGTTCAAGAAATTAACTGACGGCGTTAAAGATTATATTTATTTGAAGATGTCAATGTGAAACCCACACATTGTTCATAATGACTTCCTCTCACTTGTGGTTACTTTGCTGGATGGTTGAACACTAACTAACACATAATGAGCACATAAGCTAGAGTAACAGGAACCGACTCACTGACAGAACGATGCTAAAGCAATTCTCTAAAATGACTGACAACAAACATAAATCCTACCCACAATCCCTCACTGCAGCCACACGACAAACAGCCAAACAAAACAGAGAAATGCAGATATAGAAACTCTGGTTTGAATTTCCATATTAATCAATATTTTCCGCCTTCTGCACTGGTCTTGACTCTTCGCGTCTCTGCTGCAGTTAGCTACGTGTGACAGGAGGTTATGGCAGGTGGCTTTCAGTTTTTGACAACATAAAAACAGGAAACCGACGAGAAATATTGACAAGTTATGTTTTCTGACACGGGTCTGAGGATTTGTTTTGGATCCAAAGTCGAACAGGTAATGACATTTCAAGAATCAGAATGGCATTTGTTCTTCAAAGTCATTGTTAATTCCACTAGCACTCTATTTTTTGTGCAATTCAATTGAGCACATACCTTATTGATCTGAATTAAATATCGAGAACATCTTTTTTAACAAACCCCTCTAACATTCAGTCCAAGGAGCATCATCAGTATCCAGAGGTCGGTTTCACTTCAGAATAAATGGCTGCGTCGGCTGCTGCTGGACTGGACCTTCCTGTAAATGCAGAGACAAATCCAAGACAGTTACATGGACTAGGACAAATGTGAAATAGATCTTAATCATAAAGATAATATTGCATTTGAGCTTGAAATACTCAACAAATGTTTAATTTAAAATGTCAAAGCAAAGATTCCGATCATCAACGAGTGTTTGGGTTGCGTCGAATGCTCTGGATGTTTTGAGTCTATAAAGCCAGACGGGATTCTGATTGATTAAAACTGATAAACATGACTGTTTCCAAACAGAAACCTCTTGAAACTCAAACTGGGACAAAGTAAATGAAAGATGTTGAATCTGAGTGACTGAACCTGTAGTCTCCACCCACAACTATTGAAAGTCTGACGTATAAAGAAGTTCTGACAATTTATATCCAGTGTTTCTACTGACTTTACCTGCAGCTCCCACTCTCACATCAGAATAAACAGCGCCCTCTTCTGGTGCACGATGGCGACCTGGTAAAAGGGAAAAAAAAAGTATTATAAACATGCATTTTAAGAAGCAATGTTTCTGAAACACATTATTTTGGAGGAACTCACTCTTGTTTCTGGAGTTTTTAAATTCCAGGAGGGAGTAGGTGACGTATTGGTCGTCGTTTGCACCTGAAACACACAGAGACCCAAATTCAGTCACGTGGAATTGGCCTGTTTTCAGCCTTGTGTTGGATGTTTCAGTGTTTAAACAGGTAAACTTCACCATTCACAGGCTCGTCAGAGGGCCTCACTGAGTCATTCAGGTTAGATGTACCTGAAGTTGAAGAAAAACAACAAAATACAAATTAAGTCCTAGTAGATGGACTGTTTTTTTTTTTTGGAACTAATTGAAGTTGAAAATTAAGCAAAAACGTTGGTTTTATTTTTATTATCATTAATCACCTAATTGATCTGAATAACATACAAAGTCAAGGTTTGTAGATTATGGCTTATTTTTTTCTTTCACTAGCCTGTCAAAAGGCTAAACAAAGCTTACTTTGAAGAAAAACTAAAGGAAAGATTAAACTGTACAATTCTAATAATTTTGTAATGCTATGCTATTACTTTGCACTACTATTACACAGATTTATTTCACGCATCTGTATCCATTACATATTATGTATTCAAAATATGATCAATTGTTCAGAGCAATTTTATTCTGCTTTCTGCCATAAGATTGTTATCCAGTGGCCCAAGTGTAATTGATGAAACATAATCTATATTTCAGAAATAGATGAAAATCTCACCTTTGATGATACAAAGCAACAGCAGGAGAACAAAGAGGACGACGCCACAAACCGATCCGGCAACCAACAGCACAGGAAATGAAGAGCTGCCATGTCTTGAAACAGCTGAGACATAAAACATTAAAAATGATAGTATTCTCATTGTTTAAAAGCAAATTTTAATCTCTGCTCACCTTTAACAGCCATCCAGCTCTGAGGTGAAACGTCTCCTGAATGTTGACACTTGTAGAAACCTTCATCTGACTGAGACACTGCAGAGATATTCAGCTCTCCTCTGCTGTCGCCTTGGATCAGTTTGTCATTATGATAGAAAGTCACATTAGAAAGTTTGTTTTCTCCTCTCAGTCTGCAGCTCAGAGTGACAGAAGCTCCTTCAGTCACAGGATGGACGGGGCTCACCAGGAGAAGATCTTCATCTGTGAACCAGTCAGAGAAAATGAAGCTTCAGTCAGAAATCAGCTGCTGGAGACAATTAGAGAAAAACATGAACACATGATTTTTATCATTGATGTTTTATATTTTATCTTGATCATCTTTTATTTCAGTTGTAAAATTTACGAAATAAATATTTACATTTCATCTACATTTCTAACAGCAGCTGAAACAACAAAGAGTTTCTAATCATGTTGGATCAGAAACTCTTTGATGGAAGAATGAGGGTTTTAAATAAAAAGTCATTTACATTAAATCTGCAAAATAATAATAAGAAAAAAATAATTGTCCTGTTGCATTCAGTCTAAAATTCCTCTTGTGAATGAAATAACATATTTATGAACTTACCATCTATGGTGATGTTGACTGCATTGCTGAACTCTCCTGATCCAGACTCACACCAGTACACTGATTTAAAGGACCTGTCACTGTTAATGGTGCATGAGGATCCAGTCATTTTCCCCAGATGGAACAGTCTGATAGATTGCTTATTTCTCTCAACGTCTTCACTCTCCACTCAGTAGAGTTTCCTCCACAGTTCAAAGTCACAGACTCAGAGGTGAAATGTTGATCTCTGTCAGGACTCACTGAGAGAGACGCTGCTGGATGAGGATCTGGAATACGAGGAAAAACGAGATCAAGAACAAAACTGACAATAAAACTTGGGTTTTTGTATCATACAGAATTTATTTCATTTTATTTAACATGTACACTACTGTATGTTCAATCATCAAGCAAATCCATAGATTGATAAATATTTCTTTAAACAAGTAATTGTTATCTTCACTGTTTCTCCACCCTGTGCTGTCATTCTTTTGTTTGTAAGTATTAAACTCCATTTCTCAATCCCGATGTTTTGGGATTGAGAAATGTTTCCCAAACTAGGAATTAGTTTAAATGACAGTGAAGCATATGGTTTATTACATTTAATCACACTGACCTGCCGACCAGACGAACTTTGGTTCACTGTAATCAGTCAAATATTCTGGGTTTCCTCTTCCAGCTCTACATGCAAATCCTGCTGTGTGTTTCTGTCCAGTAATGATGAAGGAGTTCTCTACAGTCCCACTGATGCTACCAGCTAGCAGCTCATATCTGTAGTTGTTCTTTGATAAATCAGGAACAGCTTGATACCAGTAGAACCTCCATCCTGCAGATGAAGGTTTAACCTCACAGCTCAGAGTCACTGAGGCTCCAGGACTCAACCATGATGGAGACACAGTCAGGACTGGCTTTGGTAGTGCTGACCACAGATCCGCGTGTACAAATCCCTCTAAAGCTGTACAAAATTACAGAACATGATAAAACACATAATTTTAAAGATTCTAAACGCTTACATTTATCAGCACGTGACAAAGACTTTCAATCCATGAAACTTAACC